TTTTCCTCAAAAACATTTGTTTTGGCATTTTTTTTTTTATTGCATTTCCAACATAACTAACATATGTTCAAGTATTTTTATTTTTTTGCATTATTCAATCATAATTGTATGTGACTTGCTAATCTAAAATTGTTATTGTAATTATAATTATCTTGCAAAATAGCCCGTGATCATTTTTTGCGTTGACTATTTTTTACATTAAACATGACTCTTCATGATCATGTTTGTGATCGGGTCTATTTTCAATGTGACTATTTATGACCATGTTTATCTTAATTTTGAATGTCTGTGACCAAATATTTCTTAAATGTGGTTGTCTGTGACCAAATATTTTTTAGATGTGGCAGTCTGTGACTAGGTCTTTTTTAAATGTGTCTGTACGTGACCTAATTTGCCTTATTGTGACTGTATGTGACTATGTCCGTGTTAATAGTATTTTGTGATCTAACATGTGAACAATGATTTTTTGCGACTGCTTTCTTATTAATTGTAACTACATGTGATCTTTTATGTGTTAATCATGACTCTATGTGACCAAGTTTGTTTTATTTGTGATTGCTTGTGACAATATCTGTTTTTATTGTGAATTTTTGTGCCCTGTAATGCGTTCATTGTGACCAATTGTTATTTGGTTGTGACCCATTATTGTATGACTTCAACTTATATTAATCAAAGACCAATATTACATGTTACAAATTATTTATTGATCATAACTTATCCATTAACTAGTCTCAACTCACTGTAAAATCATAAAAAATCAAATTAATTGGTTGCAACTTATTTATCGATAATAAATTATCAAATTAATTGATACAAATTATTTATCAATAAAAAAAGACGAATAATAGGTCACAATTATAAGATCTAATAATTTATTGCCATTTTATTTCTTGATCACAAACACACATTATAAAATGCATCTCACATGCCACGAGTAATTGCAGATGAAGAGTCGTGAAAATCATGATTGTGAAGTTGGTGTACTTTCATTTATGAGTTAAAAGGTCCGATGTTGTACTAACATTTTCCCACTTTCCTCTTCATCTTCCATGGAGTTTTTAGGTGCACCAATTTCTTCCTCTGTTTCCAAATTTTGTTTTTCACATTGCACTAAATTAATTACCAATGGATCAACTCAAATCTGGCCCAAAACCTGCCTTAAACTCTCCTTTTTTTGCAAATTCTCCTAGACAACAGCTCAAGATTTACAGTGGGAAGATTAGTGGAGTTCAACTTCAACATTTTATGGCTGTCAACGATTAGGGCATTGCACAATCATGATTATGCACCTGATGGACTTCCACATTCTAATTCAAACGGGAATAAGAGGCTAATTGTTATTGCTTGTCCTACAGTTACTAGAGAAGATTCCCATTTCTACCGAAGCAATAATAGAAATTGAAAAACCATACTCCGCCATGGTCGTGATGGCGCCACCACGTGTTAAATTTAACAGGTGAGTCAGTGGTCGAAAACACCTGGGTCATGGGATTCAAGTGCAGGTGTGGGACGCCATTACCAAGATTGGCACAATCATTAAGCCCGAGAAGCTTGACAAGTCCTGAGCCATTGTTTTCTTTGTCTATGGATCCATGTTCCGCCAACAGAATTGTGTTTGGGAGACCAATCAAATGTAGAGTTATATTTGGAAGGTGATTTCGCCGACGGTAAGTAGTGGGAAGTGGTGGATGGTGGCGGTGGCAGCCAGCCTTCATGTTGTAGTTAGGAGGAGTTTTGAAGTGTGATAGAGATTATAACGACAGGGATGAGTGAAAAAAATGATTAGATTTTTTTCTTATTAATCTCGCATCAATTAATTAATTAATTTTAATTATCACCTGATTTATGAAATTAAAACTAATCCTCCTTATTTTTGAATAGCATACTTGAGAAGTAGGACTTGGGGTAATTTTCCCTAAGATCTTCTCCATCCAAATTAGATACGAATTTCAGCAACTTCTTCGTGTCCACTAACTCCTCCATAATAGCCATTACAATCACTGGATTCTTCTCATTCAAAGCAGCCACCATTAACACCTTCGTATGCCTAAACTTCTTCAACAACTTATCTTGCTGGGTTAACTTCAATTTCTTTGGCCTCGTGATGAAGTATTTCCCTTCTGCAGGCTTCGTATTTTTCCCTCGACTGTCGCTTCCACCCAAGACGCTGCGAGACAAGAATTAGGTGGCGACACTGAGTCAACTACTTGTTCACTGTTTTCAGTACTTGATTATGTGGATGAGAAATTGCCGAAGGGCTTGAGGGTTGTTGATCCAGAATTCTTGGATTCAATTTTTGGTTTAATTGCATTTAATTGGATTTCTGGATTTAATTGAATACATTCATAAATCATCAGTTTTTGTAAGCTGGGGCGGATTCTGGTGTTTTGCTATAGGTGTATAAAATTGGAGCTGAATTCTTTGCAATGGAAAAATCAGATTGTATGTGCGTGAGAGAGTGCCATTATTGGAGCTGTAATTGAATTATTTGCAATCGGGTGAACTTTTAGGTCCCGAGGGCCGGGGAGGAAAATGAAGTGCGTAGGTGGGATGGGATAGGGTGGGAGTAAGGAAGAAAGTAAAGTTTTAAAGATTTGAAATCGGAATTGCCATATATAAAAAAAAAATTGAATACAATTTGCAAAACAATAAAAAATTTGGGAGATAGTAAGCTTTTTTATTTAAATAAGAGGGTATATTGGTCATTTTACAACTTTTTATTAATAAATTGGGTGAAATATATGAAAATAATGATTTTCAGATAAAATGTTGAAACAGAGGTGAAAATGCAATGTTTGGAAGATTTGTACAATGAACTCTGGATCTACACGAGTCTATGTTTTTACTCCAAAATTGAGTGCAAAATTGATTTTTTTTCTATAATATTTATAGAAATAAAAGGAAAAACTCCATTTTACATTGGACTGGAATAGAAGATGAGATGCTGCTCAACTACAACATGAAGGCTGGCTGGTTATAGACACAACACTTTATGATGGAAAGAATTGAAAAGCGATTCAGTGAATGGAAACGAACAAGGTAATTATTAGAATAAGAATTGAATTAAAGAGACTAAAAAGGAATCATGATGTCTAGGCATGTGTAGTTGTATTAGTTTTGGTTTTAGAAAATCAAATCCTACTTTATAAATTTATTGTAATTATTTTCTTTAAAAATCAGGTATGTGTCCATTCCGTTATGTCTCGATGTTCAATACCATGCACGTGTAGTAATAAATACGTGTTCATCCCATTACATCTCGATGTTCAATATCATACACGTGTAGTAATAAATACGTGTCCATCCCATTACATCTCGATGTTCAATACCATGCACGTGTAGTATCAATATAATATAATTGTCCAAATATTCTTCAATATGGAACATACGAGTAAATCTAATATGATTATACTAGTCCACAATATATTCCAATCTATCAAACTTGTAACATGGTTATAAATTTGATTTCTTAGTAGACAGATTTTAAAATGGGTTAATTTCACAGACGGTCACTGAACTTACAGAAAAATTACAAAACGGTCACTGAAGTTTAAAACTTTCAGTAACGGTCACTTAAGTATTGAGACGCTTTCAAAAATGGTCACTGAAGTTTAAAAAGTTTCTGAATCGGTCACTGAAGTTGAAAAATACTTTTTTAATTTTTTTGGTTACATTTGCGGCAATTTTTCGACTACTTCCAACCACCGATACCATCGAATTTTGATACCGTTAGAAAGCCCACAACGTCCTCTTCAATTACCACTCAAAATCTCTTCATAACACCAAGGAATTCGACTGAAAAATCACCGTAAAAGTCGCCCCAAAAAATCTGAAAATCTGCCCAAATTTTCAGATTTTTGGGCAACTTTAACGGCAATTTTTCAGCGACTTTCGACCACCAAGACCGTCGGATTTTGATACCGTTGGAAAGCCCACAATGTCCTCTTCAATTACTTTCCAAAATCTCCCCCAAACTCCAAAGGATTTGGTCGGAATAAACCCGCAAAGTTGGCATCCCAAAAAGGTGAAAATCTGGGATGCCAAATTTGTGAGTTTATTTCGGTCGAATCCTTTGGAATTTTGGGGAGATTTTGGATGCTAATTAAAGAGGACATTGTGGGCTTTCCAACGGTATCAAAATTTGGCTATTTTGGTGGTCGGAAGTTATCAAAAAATCGACACAAAAGTCCTCCAAAAATCTGAAAATTTGGGCAGATTTTTGCCTTTTTGGATAGCCAACTTTGTGGGTTTATTCCAGCCTAATCCTTTGGAGTTTGGGGGAGATTTTTTGTTGTAATTGAAGAGGATATTGTAGGATTTCCAACGGTATCAAAATTCGGTGGTATCGGTGGTCCGAAATGGTCGAAAAATTGCCGCAAAAGTAGCTCAAAAATTTTTAAACTTTAGTGACCATTTTTTAAAGCGTCTCAATACTTGAGTGACCGTTACTGAAAGTTTTAAACTTCAATGACCGTTTTTTTAATTTTTTTGTAAGTTCAGTGACTGCTTGTGAAATTAACCCATTATAAAATTGATCATTATTATTGTAAAATTATCCAGCAGGATGATAGATAATAAGAAAGTAAAATATGATTGATAAAGTATCTTCCTACGTAGATTAATTATCTATTCTATTTTATTAAAAACTAATGATAACATAATGAGATAATTGCAGTCAGTGTCCCATACTTTCAAATTTTAGTCATTTGACATTCGAGTTTATTCATTTTAGTCCTTGAACTTCTATTGTGATCCAATTTGTCTTCCAAACTTTTTGTCTCTTCAATTTTCGTCCTTCAAGTGTGGATGTGTGTGTCTGTTGGTAGTTTAGATGGAATCCGTCCAACAAGTTCTTTGCTACTACATTTATGAAAGGTTGAGAATGATGCTACCAAAATGAGAAAGTTTGACTTCTATTCATACATTTCACAAAGCTTAGTTGAACTGCTACAACTTTCAGAAATTAAGAAAAACAAAAGAGTATACTAATTAACAAGAACTGACGCAAGTAGGCCTCAAATCTATTATTGCACATATGAAAGCACAAGAATTACACTTGAAGCCTCGAAGGGTTCCAATTATTTCAACATAATAACTCTAATTATAACATTTATTTATGTCTCATCCACCAAGAGAATTAGTGACAAAGCTAAAGGAATGTCTAGCATGCATCCATGCTTGCATTATTCAACATAACTTTTCTAAATAAATCAAAGGAAGCAGTAATTGTTAAGTTTTAACACCCTCGCATCTTGACCTTTCCATAGTACCATGTCGTTCTTCTTTAGTTTTGACATCCTGTTACCTTCTTAGGCTGTTTCAAGAAATTCATCCACCACATAGCTGATCTTTTAGGGAATTTAGTCAAACGTCCGTTCTGGAAGTCAACATAAAAAATGCCAAATCTAACATTGTACTCTTGGGCCCATTCAAAATTATCAATCAATGACCATATGAAGTAACCCTTCACACGTACATCCTGACTGAGAGTGAAGGAAACTTAATCAATAATTTTAAAACATACAATTTTATTTCGAATTGAAATTGAACTACCATATGTACAATACAAATGATGACTTACTCTATTGCCTTTTTAAGGTATGCAAGATGGTCCTTGTGATACTTAATCCTAGTTTCATCAATACGAGCCTTTGAAATTGTTAGGGCTTTACTGTTGACGTCATCCAGCCCTACAAAAGATCAAGGAGGAATTCAACAAACCACTAAATGCTTTGAAAAAATAGTAATTTTAAGTATTCATTTGTAATATAAATAAACAAATGAACACGACTATATACCGTTTTCTGTAATGATAATATTGGGATTCCTATATTTTTTCCTTATATAAAGCATGAGATGGTAAATTCCCTCTGGATATACGTACAGCCATGGCCAACCAGCCTACCATGAAATAAAAGAGATTGTTATTACGTTAGATTATATGTTAGCATTGGAAATTATGTAAACTATAATATATATTTTAATTCGTTGTGCCCGTATTTTATGAGTCTATGTCACGATCATAAATCACCATAATTTTTTGATATGCCTAATTGTTATAAGAATAATCTATTCATTTTCAGATTTTTCTCACAGAAGGGTAATCTTAATGGCTCACCGGCTGACCAATCGGCTTCCCGTTACGATGAGCTACAAAAGAATAAGAAGTAAACATATTGTTATCAGTAGTGTCCATTTTATGTCAACATAAAAGAATATAACTGAATTGTTCTTACTGTGATATTCAACATGCAGATCATTGTCATAATGGTGTTGTGAAATATTTCCTCTTATATTTTTGACATAATAAGTCGTGTAATAATTTATGCCTAAAAAGTCATAGGATCCTTTCACTAGCTTTATCTCGTCCTCTGTAAATTCGGGAAGACGATCTCCTCTTATATTATTTCTCATGGACGGTGGATATTCACCAGTTGTTACAGGGGCTAAAAACCTGAACAGGAGAAATATGTCAAAGGATTACGATAGAAGCACTACCTGAAATTCTACAAAAATATATCTGATGTATTCTCGAAAAGACATATGATTTTATACAATATACAAACAACAAAAATGTATAAACAGGTTAAGGGGTTTACAAAATAGAATAGATGAAATTTCGATAATGAAATCCAATCTAAAGTACTTCCCTGTACATTAATTTCATTTGGAGAGTTAGGAATCAACAGAGATGAAGAGAAATTTCACTTGGTAACGATAAACTACTCAAGCACATGCAGTAATTACCATCCTAACATAAAATCAAGTGCCCTCGAAGCAGCCTCCTCGTCATCCTGGTTGTTGTCCTCAAGTGGATAAAACCACGGTGAAACATTTGTCATCCCTATTTTGCCTTGTCGGCGATCCTGTATGTACACATGTAATAATATTCATAATCAATAATTAAATCTCAAAAGTGTTTATTTCTATATGTATGTGTGTGAAATATCAAAATAAAAACCTGATAATATTTCCTGTATATCTCAACCGCACGTGCATGAGCAAGGATCAAATTGTGTGCCACAGTATATGGATCAGTGCCTGGCTTTCCATTTGAGGAAGTATTGTGAGCCAAATTTTGTGCAGTAGCAACAAGTTCTCTGACCGGCTCTCCTACAGAGGAATCAACTTCTCTGACCGGATCTCCTTCTGAAGAAGTAACGTGAGGAATAGACATTGCACATATGCGATGAAGGATGGAAATTGCTCCAGGGGGGAAATTGCCCCTCACATATTTATAATAAGTGAAGGCCCATGGCTCATTCAGTGTGATCCAATATTTCACTCGATTACCAAATTCCTCAAAGCAAATCTTAGCAAACTCACAAAAATGTTTCCTATAATGGCAATCTGAACAAGTTAATATCAAGATATATGTGTAATGTACGCATAGATAGTAAAATTTTTCACATATGACATTAATCTTTGTACAAGAGATCAATCTGCCTTTATTTTACCACTTGCTAATATGCATTTTCTTTAAATAAAACATTTGTGCCTTTCCTCCGATATAGTGTTTGAGAAATTAACTTTGCTTAATTCCTTTGCTAATATCTATCACAAGATGTTACTTGTGATGAAAGATTGAGATACTTACACAATTTGACGATCTAAGAAGCCACGATATTCATCTTCCAAACTTTGAGGAACATCCCAGTGGAAGAGTGTTACCCAAGGCTCAATGCCTGCACAAAAGTAATTAGAGAATGCAAGGTGATATCTTTTGATTTTATTTTTTATTATATGTAAAAAGAGATGATTTCAAAATCATGTCAATTTTGAACCTCAATTATGGATTAATTGAATTAAACATGAAAATTATATATATAATAGAGTCTAACCTTGTGCCAAAAGTGCATCTATGAGATCGCTATAGTATTTGATTCCTTCTGTACTTTTCCCTTTCCCATCGATTAGTTTGCCTCCTAAAATATCAATATATTTTCTACATAAATTAAAATAAAATCAAGGAACCATTATTTCACATTTAAATTGAGGAAATTGCTTGGCAACGTCATATTAGAGACTATTACTCGTTTTTTATATAACTTCAAATTTTCAAAACTTTTCATCTTTCGTTCTATAGATATCATTTTTCTCGTCAAAAGTTTTTCTAAATTTATCTCATCCTTTTCCATGAGCTTTAGGTCAAAAACTAGGCAAGGTTGACGAGATTTTCTAGTCCATTTAGACACTCGAGTCCTACTATTCAATGAAAACAGTAAACTCTGTATTGTCAAGAATCTCGTCCACTTTGCCAAGTAACAAAAGGCAGTATATATAGTCATTTAAAATTTCAAGAAAAAAGGTACTTTAGCCTAAAAAAATAAATTGCTTGGAAACAAAATTACTCTAAAGCTTCGACATTTCAATATTGAAATAAAATATTTGTTTTTCTAATTTTATTAAAGTAGAATTCAATACTTGGTAAGATTCTGGACCATGAGATTGAAAATCTATAAGAATTCAAACCAACTTTCTTCGTCAAAGCCACATCTTCCTGCAATATTATTAAAAATGAGTACAATTAATAGTCGAACAGACAATTCTTGGTGGATAAAATTAGTGCACAGTCAATCATAATGGAAATAATTTTTGTTTCTACCATTTTTTTTTTTCAAAATTGAAAATTTTGACTTCAAATGTTAACAAAGTATCAACTCATTTTGAATTTAATTTTCCAAATAATGGTCACGAATTTATTAATTCTAATAACAGGAGAAATTTTCTTCTTGCACTATTGGATCAAAAAAGTTACTTAAATAGTTTAAAGTTGTTCATTCAATTCATTTTTCACTTCCGTTATTAAACTTCATCTTATCACTTGTGGAAAATTTATTGAGATCTCCATTTTGTGATTCAAATTCTAAATACGTTGATTTTCTTAGAAAAGGTGAGTATTTATTTTGATATCAATTAATAGAAAAGTAGTAAAAGTGTAAAAGTTCTTACAATTTGGGACCTTAATAAAATATGAGGGCCTAGAAGACTGCCTCACTTAATGCTTGAACTGGTATGGAATTTTGATAAAGGATTTAAATAAAAGGGTCAACCTTTTCATGTAAAGTAAGCCTTGACTGAAAATAAAAATAAGAATTCTTTAAATTTGAGCTATTTTTCCTTTTATGATTGGTCCACTAAATGATTTAGCCATCATTTTGTACCACGCAAATTTAAATAGCTAAAGAACATGTACCTTGAACATATTATAGCGATCAAGAGAAATGCGTCCATTTCTACCATCTGCATTGCTATCTGCCACTCCAATTTATAAAGATAAATATATGTCACCAACGATCATTGTAAAAAACACAAGTACACATTCTTACTTGTGTATGTGTGTGAATTAATACATGCTTATGATTTTTTATTACGATTTGGAAATTTGTCTTAAAATATAAATTTAATTCATTAAAAAGACTAGCATAAGCCCTTATTTATTGATTAATTTTTTATATAAATTGTTAAGAATTGTGTCCCATTTGAAAATATTAATCTTGAAATCTGAATGCTTGTATGAGAGCTTTAGATGGATCATATTTTTTAGCTAGTTGGGCTCTGATACAGTATTAGAATTAGAGATTTGATCTCAAAATGTCAATATTACTACAGATCTCTTATACATTGGTTAATATATATTTAATTGATGTAGAATTATGTTAACATCTATATTAATACGGAAACACACATGAGAGAGAGAGAGAGAGAGAGAGAGATTTATTACTGTTACCTTCACCATCTGCATTCAGAGCTCCTTCAACCTACAGTAATTAATTACGAAGCCCATAAAACAAATTATATATCCAGAAATTAAGAAGAAAAATAAAATAAAATTACATGTTAACGGACTTTCTGACATATGTACTCACACATTCTAACGATGGTTTTAGCGAATCTTTATTATTCCTAGCAACAACGGAATATTTGATAAGGTGTATTTAATAGTACTGAATAATGTTAACGAAGCAATAATTATAGGCTACAGAATTGTCCATTTTTCTGTCCAATTTTTCCTGATACAAAATAGTAAAATATACCAATAACACACTTGATATGCCGATGTTATAGCACCAAAGATAAACTCCTAGGAAAGTTAGACCGTTTGGCCTCTATTTTGGTGGGATCCATAAGAATGAATAGGATGACAAACTTAAGTAAACTAATATTACAAAGAAATATTTTGACCATTACATATAGAAGTAACGACAGAGTTGGTTGGTCCATCACGGACCAAAATCCCTTTGATATGTAATCTTGCATTCTGATAATGGTTTAGAGAATTTTCATTTTTTTCACACATTAGTGGTATGTTTGATAATGTAGATGTAAAATGGAGGACACTGATAACAAACTAAAAAATAGGCTAAACTCTTGGCCATTCTTCCATTTAATACGACCTACAAAAATATACAATAATTAGTTGCTCACCTGATATGTTGATGTTGCAGCACCAAAGACAAAATTATTGGGAAAACTAGAGCGTTCAACTGCAATTTCGGATGAATCCATTGGAATGAGGAGGATAAGATATTATAGTTAGCTGGGAGAGGTGTGTGGTTCCTCCAATCCATGGGCTCTATTTATAGACTCTATATTTTAAATACTTATATCATACGATTAGACCACAAGCATAAAGTAAGTATAATCTATAGGGGAAGGTATTAATACTTTTCTTCATTCTACTTAAAGTAAATGCAAGTACATGGAAAAAAATATATGTACAACTTTAAATCATTCTTTACTTCCTTCTCATTACTGCAAATCATTCTTTACTTCCTTCTCATTACTTCTTAGGACCTTTCTTTGATTCTCCATGTCAAGCATCTTGAGTTGATTAATTATTATTATTATTATTATTATTATTATTATTATTATTATTATTATTATTATTATTATTATTATTATTATTATTATTATTATTTTTGGTTACTATTAGTAAGACTAATTCTATAAACTTTTTGACTGTGTAAAGAGTATCCCTACCAAGCTATTTGAGAAAATAATCACAAAAATGTTAATCTGCTCCAACCCACCCCTTACCCACTCTAACCTTCCCCACCTTACTACCATACCACCATCCGAGATTGAAGCTCATTGTGATGAGATGCCCGGATTAGAGGATGCTAGTGATGGTGATGGAGTAGAGTGCCCCGTCGTGGTGGAAACACATGTGGTGATGCGTGCTTTCAATACACAAATCAAAGTAGATGACATGGTGCAACAAATGGAGAACATCTTTAATAGGAGGTGTAATGTCAACAATAAGGTATGTAGTTTGTTTATTAACGGGAGGTAGTTGTACCAATATTGCTAGTACTACACTTGTGGAGAAAATTGGGTTTGGCTTCGATAAAACATTCTAGACCTTATAGATTGCAATGGTATTATCAATGTGGGGAGGTTATAAATAAGCAAGTCTGTGAATTTTTCAATTGGAAAGTACAGTAATGATGATATGGTTCATATGCATACTGGCCACATCTATTGGGAAAGCCTGACAGTATGATAGAAAAGTGACACATGACGGCTTTAGGAATAGGTACAATTTTGTAAAGGATGGGAAACACGTTACTCTTTTTCCATTAACACTAAAACACGTCTATGATAGCAAATTAAAATTAATAGGTGAAGAAGAAAAGAAAAATAAAGAGATGCTAAAGGAGAGTGACAATGAAACGTCACAAAAGGAGAGTAAGAGAGAAAGTAGTGAGGTGTGAGAAAAAGAATAAAGCCACAAGAGAGAGAAAAGATAGAAAGTCTTCTGAGAGGAGAGAAAAATCAAAAGTGAGTTTCGATAAATTAAAAAAAAAAGTGAAATTGAGAGGGCTTTAGTGAGAACTAACAAACCCCCTAGTTTGGATATTTCTTTATTATAGGAATTCTAAGGAATTTTCATTGAAGACTTACTTAGTGTTATAACACCCATTGAGTATCAAAATTGGTTCGTTGCAAGTGGAGGATTTGATGACCATTGAAGGGAGAGCGTTAACAATAGCATGGTAAAGTATCATTATCACATACTTAGGATAGATGATAATCTAGCATGTAGAAAGAATTTTGATAAATCATATAGGACATGTACTTTTTCATTTACTAATGCATCTTTCATAGGATAATAAATCATTTGTCACATGCGTTCATAGGCAATCATTTGCTAGTTTATGATATTCTAGTATTTTACAAGAAATTAATTGAGCATGATAGACAATTGTGGTGTATTGTTCATGATTTGAGGCATGAAGATCTATATTTCAATCTTTGAAGTCCTTAATTGTTTTGGTTTGAACTTATACAATATGTTGGAAAGTAATTTAATATCATCTACTACTTCTACTACTTTTTGATATGGTTTATAGTTTAAATCCGCCAACTTTATTTATTTAATTTCTTTAAATATTATTGTAAGCGATAGTTTTGATGGAAAGTAGAAGATTGAATTATATGCATCTCAAGATAGCAAAACGAAGAGGCGTAGGTTCGAATGCAAAGAAGATCAATGTTTCATCCTAGAGGAGATGGACCACTCTACATCATTGCAAGGATCGAAAACAATGACTACAACTTGGATCTTCAAGGTAAGTTTCTAATAATTTGCATCTTTTCGATGTTTCTTATTTTGAGGTGTTTGATTTAGGTATAAACTCAAGGTCCAATCCTTTCAAAGAGGAAGGGAGTGGTATGATCCAAAGAAGGACACAATCGTACCAAATTCAGGTCCAACTTTTAAAGGAACCAATGACAAAATTGCGAGAAATAGGATCAATGAAGCCAGTATTTTACTTATTCAAGCTACGAAGCCAAGAGTTTAAAGTTAACAAGCCAAACACCAAGTTTCATGTTGGGCATGAAGGCAGAAACAAGTTGGATGCAATGGAATCAAGAAAACCAACTTGGAAGCCAGCTGGACAACTATGCTGCCTCTTAGTACAAAAGGGCATGTTGTCGCATGTACTATTCCCAAAAACAAAAAGGTGCAATTTTTGTTTGGTTAATGTGGTCACGGGAATTATAACTATTGGGTCGCATAGTTCATTTTCTGGATACATTTTTTCAGATTTTTCTAGAAGTCTATTATTGGTAGAACTCTTGTTATTTTATCTTTTTGATATAATTCCATTTTAATTAGGTTTTTATGGGTTCTCTATAAATAGAACTCATTTTTTCATTGTAAAAACACAATTATTGAGATATTATTGCGAGGTATATTGCTTTCAACGTTTTCATCAAACTAAACCCGAACTTATCAAGAATTGATTTCTTGTAGTGTTCAACAATTCAAGTGAGGTTCATAATTTTTATGATCACGGGGTGAAGATTGTCTTGGTTCTTTGGTTCAATGATTTATTGAGTCGATCTTTCAAAATTGATTTTTTATTTTCTTGGTTTTTGTGGATTTTATAGCTACAATTGCTATGTGGATTTTCATCACCTACCAATCAGTTTGACAAATAATCACGATTATTCACTTAAATTAATCTAATGGTCTTGATTTAATGTAAACAAAAAAAAAAAATGTTAATCTGCTCCAACCCACCTCTTACCCGCTCCAACCTTCCCCACCCTACTGTCCGAGTTTGAAGCTCATTCCATAAACAAACCCACCAATTTAAAATCAATCAACAAACCACTCAACAGAAATTAGTACCCATCTCTTAATCAATCCAATAATTGTTCTAGTTTATGTGGCACACAATGTTGGACAAAAAGCTTTGTATATATGATGAACTACGCTAATTTTATGTGCAATTTTCTTCCCTAAATTTTAGAGTATAGACCAACAAAATAAAGAAAATTCCTGTTTTGCTGATTATGACAACCTCAACTATCATCTGGAAGGTTATAATTATAGTAAAATATTCCAATTTTGCTTCTTGTTTGAAACATCATCACAGCTCGCATATTTGTAGAGAGGAAATTCCTTAAAAGGATAAATTTAGAGAGATGAAGAGAGAGAAAGCATTGTTGATTGCACTGAATAACTTGTATGTTTTTATACTGAGTATATGATTACCTTTCTCTATATAACTTTTTTATAAAGGGTTGTTTATTGTGGTTATTGGATTCATCTATTACACAATGTAAGAGCCTTAAATTTTCACTTTCATCTCCCGTCCATTGACGACGAATATGACAATGTTTTAGCCTTTTTATGCCAAACATGGTAATTTAAGTTTTTTTTTTTTCCCTTTTACTTTTCTATTACATATTGTAAGAGCCTTTCATTCTCAATAGTCATCTTTTATTCATTGAGGATGAATACGACGATGTTTTGGCCTTATTATGGCCAAAATGTGGTTGTTCTTTTACTCTTACTTTGTACATAAAATGATGCTATTTTGATCTTTTTGTCTAATCATCTTTTGTACGGAGCCCTTCTTTTATGCAAGATTGTATGGCTTGTAGCCTTTTTCACATTCTCTCCTCTCTCATTCTTTCTCCTTTTCCTTTACAGCCTTTTCTTTCTTCACCTAGGGAGCATTATCATTTTTGCAGAATTTTGGTGACATTGATATTATTTCAGTTTAAATCCTAACTAAAATGACATATATATCGTTTGGGTTTATAAAATGATATAATTATCGTTTTTGCTAGGAATGATGATCCAACCGTCCACGATTGCCTGACTTGCATTTGAAATATGTAAGTCAATGAAATATATCATTAAGTGGGTTTGATCTCAATTAATAGAAACTATGAGAACATTTATATTCCCATGATTTTGTACCGCCTTCGAACTGTTTCATTTGAAAAACGTATCTTCATTTGCTCTTTTTAAGTCATTTGAATGGTGTCAACCCACTTGTTGACCTCTTTCAGTCATCCCACATATGTTGAAAGTATGTTGGGTGGTTGTGGACTGTTGAATCGTTGTTTTTAGCTAAAACAATATAATTATCATTTTATACGAAAAGAAACGATATATATGTTGTTATGATTTAAACCGAAATAATTTCACACTTGTCAAATTTATACTAAAACGATTTGATGGCATTATATTTTTCATTGGTTTGACACATAACGATATATTATTGCTTCAATACACTTTTTTATAATATTGATATCGTTTCAATTTAAATCATAACTAAAATGATATGTATATTGTTTGAGTTCATAAAAAGGTGATAATTATATCGGTTTAGAAACGACGATTCAACTATCCACAATCACCCGACATGCATCCGAAATATGTAAGATGATCAAAATAGGTGGGTTCGATCTCACTTTGTGTTCCCATGATTGTATATTGCTTTTGAACTATTTCGACACAAAAAGTAGCTTCGTTCTCTATTTTTAAATCATTCAAGTAGCATTAGCACACTTGATGACTTCTTTCGATTGTCTTACATTTGTTGAAGGCATATCAAGTGGCTGTCGATGATAGAATCGTTAGTTTTAGCCAGAACGATATAATTATCGTTTTACACGAAAAGAGCCAATATCTTTGTCGTTGTTGTCATGATTTAAATTGGAACAATCTTAATTGTGTCAAATTTGTACTAACACAACATGGATATCATTATTTTATTTCGTGCGTTTGATACATAACGACATTGA